AAGTTAAACCTTGGAATTCAGGTATATTGACTGAATAATAAGGAAGGCGAAGCACTATGTACAGCTAGCATCCAAGTGAAGGAAAAGATCAGATGAGCTAAATTTGCTTTTGTTACTTCCTGACAAAACAGAAGGAAGATATTCTTCTTGATTATGGATATACTTGCAGTACAGTGTAAAATAACTAAAAGCCAGCTAGCTAGGAGGGAATGTAATTATGGTTATGAAGGTAAACCAATGCCAGAAAGTACTAACTCATCTTTTCATGCATTAAAGGAACTCTATATCATTACAGATGAATATTAAATATCTAAAATATATCTGAAAATAATTAAATGCAATCTGTCTTAATAGAGAAAAGCAGCAAGCTATTTTTTTTTAACTTTTATTTGTTAGAAGCTCTTAGAGCCTCCTTCTAGTGATATTGCAGGACCATAAGGCCAGAATAAAGGCAGAATGTCCTCACTGGTTTTGGTCAAAGTATGATTCGTCTCTAGGACAGAAAATGCTGGAAAATGGAAATTCTTTACAATACTTTCCTTGGTTGTTTAACTCTATAAAATATCCTAGGTAAATAAGTAGTTGTGGATATACTCACAGTTGTGAATTACCAACTTAGTATCCAGTTTTGAATATTGCACATAACCTCCCAGAGGCATATTGAGAGAAGCAGACAAGAATCACTCTGATGGTATTAATGCTATCAATTCCCTTGTGGATCCAGAGTTGCACAGCATTTGTGAGAGCTTTTTTTACACACACACAGCCACACACACACACCCAAGTTCATCTTTCTTCATTCTACTTCTGATGCATGTTATAAACAAATCTTCTCTATTAGAAGGTCTGTGTACAAGACACTCCGAAATATATCAGTTAGGACTGCCTGAAGTCTTATTTATCAATATTTTATTTACAGGTAAAATATAAATTCCGTTTTTAAAAAAATTATATCCTGCATTTTTTAAACAATCCTAAAGCATTATTTGCAGGAGTCTGGTGATTAACCAGGTGGGTAGTCTGCCTAGTAACCTATAGTCGATAGCCTTGATTTTTCCTGGGGAAATGTACAATAAAACACAATCAAGAAATATATAACCTTTATCCTTTTGAGTGGAAGCTGTCATGTGCTGATCTAATCATAAGCCATCTGACATCCCAAGGAGAATTTGGCACAGAATCCAATTGTGGTGGCATGTAAAAGCATAGACTGAGCTCTGGAGATGGACTTGATGTTGCAAGGACCTCTGGCTGGTAATTATGGCTGGAAACCATGCACTTAGCATAGAAAAATCTAAATCCCAGAGTGGAAGGCTGTTTCATACCATGGAATCTCCAAAGTGCCACTCCTATAGGGACTTGTGACCTTCATGCTCTCTGCCCTACATGACTTAAAATATTATTCTTTGGATTAATATAAACAACAATCTAGCATAAAGGAAGCAAAGCAGCAGCATTTTCAAGAATGGTCCTGGGCCCCATAGGGCCTCTCAGAAAATAAATGTGGAAGATGGCCACAGCTTATGTTTTGCTTGGACCTGTGCCTAACTCCTGAGCTAAGAGGGAATTGTGAAGATAAGCTGGAGGAGTTAGGTACAGTAGCATCCTATGGGGCTAGACAAACTGAGGGAAAACTTTGCCAAATTATCTTCTGGCAAATGATTGTTTTGCAACTAGTGACACCAACCAAAGCAAGGATATTATAAATGGGCAAACGACTCCCAGTGTTGTAATAGCACCACTTAACATTCCAAATGGGTCAACCAGCTCAAAAAAGGTTTAAGATAATATATAGTGCATGCTTTCCATTCCAAGTCATGTGCATTTGTACAGTGTTCAAATAATAGGTTATCTTTATATTTATGATGACCTTCCAGAATAACACCTCTGAAAAAAGAAATGGTTGTTGTGCTTCCAACTATCTTGAACAATGGTAAATATTCCAAAATACAGAAAGTTTTCCACCGCCACCCACCCACCCCATGGCTTAATTCTTTGAACCTGCAGTCATGGAAGACAAATTTAAAGGGGTGCCTTCGCCTTTGAGATTCTACCTGTATGGAAGTGATGTGACAGAAACACTTCCTCATAATCATCTGTACATTATTTTTATAGGGATAAAAAATCAGAGTTTACTTCTCTTATGCTTTATTCAAGAAATTCTGTTGATTCCCATCTTTGTATCCTATTAGCAGACACCACTATTGAAAATATATAGCTAGTGTTTTGTGAATATTAAGCAATCCAAGTTATTTTCAAACTGATTATGTTCTTTCAGATTCCTGAATTGTTATTGTTACGGTCTTATGGTTGATTTTATAGTAAACACTATTAGCTCTACAAATCTATAAGAGTATACTTGGGCTGTGCAAAGTTTTGATTCAAGGACAGTTCACTTGAAACACCCTTTTGAATGATGTTTAAACCACAAATTCAGATTGACTCAACACAACTCTTTGAATTGAAATGCAAATTTTAATTAAATGGACTCAAATCCTTAAATTAGATCTTGGCTGATTCACACACCCATACTGTTTGCATAAATTCAGGGACCTGTATATGGATGCATAATAGGAGCCAGATCAACAGTCTATCTAGTCAAATACTATCTTAATTGACAACCAGAAGTCCAGAGTCTGGAAAGGAGTTCTGTCTTGATTTGGCTTCTTCAGAACCTTACTAAAAACTGGATGAGGCATCTTAACCATGTAAAGTCTGTGTTACTTCCTTGAATAATGATCCATCCCTTCCATGTGAAAATTAAAGATCTACTACAACAATGAAATGGGAATAGAAGTCCTAGTGTGGTTATACCCAATAGCCCTTGGAAGAGATTAGGAGGGTTTACCATTGGAAGAAGCAAATAGCTGAATTAAGTGAATTACTATCCATGACTTAAAAAAAAAAAACAAGTAACCAAAGAATTTGGAAGGAAGGAAGGAAGGAAGGAAGGAAGGAAGGAAGGAAGGAAGGAAGGAAGGAAGGAAGGGAGGAAGGGAGGGAGGGAGGGAGGAAGGATGGGGGAGAAGGG